TTCCCTGCTTCCTCAAGCCCTAGGTTCTGGGACTACCAGCACAGTATGCAGGCAGCCTGGCTGACTAAAGTTAGTGCTTCGTGTTGAACAATTAGCTTGGTATAATCAGAAAGGGAAAATGGTGCCCCTAAAACACCACCTTTATCCAAATCCAACCATTGGCTGCTGTGCACAAACAAAATCACTCTCTTTTTTTTTTTTCTTAAGGAAACCTAGTGTTAGAAGTTTCCTATGGCACAAAAGGTTTTCATCTGCCTGCTCACCAAAAGGTTGGCTGGCAGTTTAAACTTACCACTGGCACCAGGGAAGAAAGGCCTGGTGATTCACTTCTGTCAGGATTACAGCCAAGAACAGCCTGTGGAACGGTTCTTCTATATAACACATGGCTTTTCCATAAGGCAGAACTGACTTGACAACAAGAAGTTTGGCTTCAGTTTTGGTAGTGTTGGCAGAGGAGTCCCTGGGTGGTACAAATGGGTAACATGCTCACTACTACCTAAAAGGTTGGTTGTTTGAGTCCTCCCAGAGGTACCTTGGAAGAAAGGCCTGATGATCTACTTCCAAAAAAAATCAACCAATAAAATCCTGATAGTCTGATACACATGGGATGCTCATAAGTTGGAATCAATTCAAAGGGAATTAGTTAGTGTTAGCAACAGGCAATCTATGATTGGGCTGTGAGGTGCAAATCCAGCACTGTGCTGAGTGTGTGTGTGTGTGTGTGTGTGTGTGTGTGTGATTGAGATAGAGAGAAAATTTGGGAATATGCCCAACAGGCTCATTCTACCCTCAAGTTTCCATCAGCCTGAATTGATTAAAGAAGACCATCCTGGTAAAGCATTTTGTACAGTGCCCAATTTTCATTTCTACATTTAAAATTTACTTTTTAAAATGGGTAGCTCAATGGTATCATAGAATCCAACAGTAAAATGTGCGTTTAAATTCTAGTTTGAATTTGGGGAGACAGTTGTGTGTTAATGAATAGTGACCATAATTGTTATTTTCTCTTGCTTAATAACAAAAATGGTGTAGTGAATAGCTGGAAATTAGGAAGATAAGATGCTTTCCTCATTTTGTATTTGTTACTTCATTTTCACAAAGAGAAATTACCAGCCCCTGAATATTTATTATATATTATGTAAACTTGTTTAAAACAAACTATAGTATAAGTCCTTACTATACTTTTTTTTAGTATGACCATTATTTACAGTATATTTTTATCTACTTTGTTGTTATTACAACATTATTTTTAATTTTTAAGAAGGAATGTGCAAGTTGCCATGCATGCATCAGGGAATTCAATACTGTATAGTGAAAATGAGAATGGCTTATCATGTTGCATAATCAAATTTAATTCATTTCAGTTAAGTTTTTTTATCTTTTATACTGTACTTTTATGCAGCCACATTGGTAATACAGCTTCTAGGCTAAACATTAGACAGAAATAGAATACATGAATGAAACAATAATGGACTTGCTTTTTAATATGAATGAAAATTAGAATTGCATTAAATTACATAATAATAGAAAAATAAAGTAAAATATAATAGGGTGAGAACTTTATACTGCTGTAAAATCTAGATCACAGAACACAGTTTTGCTATTTATCAGTTTCATATTGAATTTCTTTTGAAAATTTACTTTTAATTCTATAGCAATATAATATAAATATCCTCTCCTAATATATGAAAGTACTCTTGTTATAATTTGGCTATTGAGAAAGAAAGGCACTGATGAGCTATTTTAGTATAGACCCTCCCATGATACAGTGTAAACACCTTAAAATATAATAAAGTAAAGCTCTCTTTGGAGATAAAGAATCTATTTATCCTTGAATTGGACACTGTTGTGAGAAGACGTGAAAGAAATCCATTTGCTTCCCTTGCATGAGAAACAACCCAAAACCTTTCTCTAAGTCCACTGGAATATCTCAAAAAAGAAAAATTTACATTCTCTTCTACTATCAAGTATTCCTAGTTATGATAAATCTTGCCCCTTTCTCTCAGGAACTCTGGTGGTGTAGTGCCTAAGGCATTTGACTCCTAACCAGAAGGCTGGCAGTTCAAATCCACCAGCCACTCCTCAGAAGGAAGATTGGGCAATCTACTTCTGTAGTGATACTGCCTCAGAAACCCAACAAGGGGTCACTATGAGTCAGATCCGACTCAATGGCAGTGAGTTTTCCTTCCCAGGGATCAGTGAAATTATGTCCTTTCTTTATACTTTATTTGGATATGTAACATGGCTTCAACAACTGAGATTCCAATTATAAGCTCTCAATACTTTCCAGTAATCTTTTGGTAAGTGTTCCTGGCAGGTGATGATGGTTTTCTTAAATTAATTTTCTATAGAGTTGGGGTTAGAAATCATACAGTGAAAGTCTAGTGTCTCTTAGCATTTTACCCCATTCATAGTTGCCCTAGGTGTCCATTTGTAAATCCCTTGGAGGCATCAGGGTAGGTGGCTATATAAACTCTAAGTGTGATTAACCCCAGGATTATTGGTGATATCCTCAGGGAAAGATATAGAAAAAGAAAGGTGCCTGGCTATTTCATTTCTCAGTTGTCATAAAAATGCATACTATGTCAATAACCACAGCCTTAGTCTTCCACTGCAAGTCATAGAAAGTTGGTCAATAAACTGACATCAAGAGCATATTAAGGAAAGTGGGCGGTGAGAAGGGGAGGGAAAGAGGAAGTAGAGAGTACTTATAGGGGATGGAGAAACAGAGAGGGGACCCTGGTCAGGGAACCAACTTGCTGTACTTTCCCCAAGCAGAAGTATCTTTCAGGGGTAGAATTTGTCATCTTGTGAAGTTTGTGTGGGAATGAAGTAGGAGGCAGGGAGGATCATAGGGCCCTTTCTAGTCTCAACCTCCTGGTATTCTTGGCATTTTGCCTTGCAGGTTTTCCACCTGTTCCCTTACTGGAATCAGCTTCCTAAGTCAGTATTTCCTACATCTGTTTGGCTACTAGTCAGAATCAATATCTAATTTGAGACTAAAACCGGAACAGCAGGAATCAGAGGTGAAGCTGGGGCTTTGCTAGTGAATCTGGAAACGAATCACTTAAATTTTATAAACCCAAACTTTATAAATACAGACTTAAGAGCATTTAAAACAATTATAATAATACAGCTAGTAAATACTGAGAGTTTTACTTGGGCCTAGAACTCTCTGCTGCTTTATCACTGTGTCTCATATCCTTGTCATGCAGTTGAGGAAACTGGTAGCATTTAGCCCTTAGCAAGTGCCTAAGGCACTTGACTGCTAACCAGAAGGCTGAGTATTCAAACCCACTATCCACTCCTCAGAAGGAAGGTTGGGCAATCTACTTTTGTAGTGATACTGCCTGGGAAACCCAAGGAGGGGTCGCTATGAGTTGGGTCTGACTCAAGGATACATAACAACAACAACTTGCCTAGACTCACACGATTGGTCATGGCAGAGCTAGGGTTCTAACACAAACAGTCTACTTTCAGAGGCCACCATTTTAATCATTATACTCATCTGCATCCCTAACAAGCTATCTAGGGGGAGATCAATAGCCAGAAACAGCAAGCACCACATCTGCCAAATGCTCAATTCTTAATGACTTGGTTATCTGAGTATATAATATAGCATAGTATCTAAGGAGCCCTAGTGACACACAGTTAAGCAATTAGCTGCTATCCAAAAGGGTGGCAGTTTGAACCTGCCCATGGGAGAAAGACCTAGCAACCTACTCCTCATAAAGATTACAGCCTAGAAAACCGTAAAGGACAGTTCTGCTCTGCCACATGGGAACACTGTGAGTGGAAATTGACTCCATAACACCTAACAACAACAATAGATCATCTACCATAATCAAATCATTTTTTCTTTACTGAATAAAACTATGTCATTGAAAAGAAGAATAAAAAGAGAAACCTGAAATAGAAAGTCAGGATAATACCTGAATTTCATCCTCATTTTAACACAAAAACATGGCCTTGGGAAAGCCACTTCAGTTACCTTACCTGCACAGTAGGAATGTGGATTTAAACTATTTCATGATTAATACATTGGTGTGTCATATATTAGCTTGCCAGACAATATTCCTAATTAAGTATCAGATATCATTCTTTAAACTTCTTAAACTGAGTCACAATACTGAAGTCTGATCGAATTGAAACTAGGATGTTTTTTAATCAAATTATTATTTTTTTTAATACCACAACATTGCTTCCAGAAGACCTGATGAATTTACTGGACATTAAATATTGGCAGAGAATATCATTTGGGAATATCCAAGTTTATCATTGTTAATACTATCATTCTTTGGAGCGATCCAAGAATGTGATATAAAAAATATTGTCCATTTGAATGTCCCAGACAAAAACTGAACACTGACTCTTAGACAAAAACAGTTTATGTATTAAATGTCAAATACTTTACTTCTCTAATACATAAGGATCTACATCAATATTTCAACAGCATATTAAATGACATTTCTGTGTTTTGTCAACAGATCAGCAGTACTCATGGTCACCAACTCAGCACTTCAATGAAGAAAGATACTCCCCTGCTCCTAGGAATATGAAAGGATTATCTGGGAGTCGAAATCAACCACAGTTATGTTCTGGTCATACTTGTGGCTTGACACCCCCTGAAGATTGTGAACATACTCATGACCACATTCACCATGGGCAGGAAACAAGGCAATCCTACTTGCTCAGCCCAACTGACAGCTGCCCCATGGACCACCATCGTTGTTCACCCAGAAGTTCCATTCATTCCGAATGTATGATGATGCCCATGATGATGGGTGATCATATGTCTAGTAGCACTTTTCCCAGAATGCATTATAGCTCACATTACGATACAAGAGACGATTGTGCCATGTCTCATGCTAGCACTAAAATTAATCGAATTCCAGCCAATCTTTTGGATCAATTTGAGAAACAGCTCCCTCTCCACAGGGATGGATTCCATACGTTACAATACCAGAGGACTTCAACCGCCGCAGAACAGCGCAGTGAGAGCCCAGGGAGAATACGACACCTTGTCCATTCTGTCCAGAAGCTCTTCACCAAGTCTCATTCTTTAGAAGGCTCTTCTAAGAGTAACATCAATGGGACCAAAGGTGACAGTAGAGTGGATGATCACCACCACAGCCATCATTCAAAACATAGTAAAAGGAGTAAAAGTAAGGAGCGGAAACCAGAAAGCAAGCATAAATCTGGCATGAGTAGTTGGTGGAGTTCTGATGACAATTTGGACAGTGATAGCACCTACCGAACACCCAGTGTGGTTAATAGGCACCATGTAGATCACATCTCCCATTGCTACCCTGAAACTCTCCAGGGCCCCTTTGGGGATCTCTCATTGAAGACTTCCAAAAGTAATAATGATGTCAAGTGTTCTGCCTGTGAAGGCTTAGCTCTGACCCCCGATACAAAGTACATGAAAAGAAGTTCCTGGTCCACTCTTACAGTAAGCCAGGCAAAAGAAGCTTATCGCAAGAGTTCCCTTAACTTAGATAAGCCTTTGGTCCATCAGGAAATCAAGCCTTCCTTGAGGCCATGCCATTACCTTCAGGTAAGGAGTCTCAATATTATGACTGCAATTTTGTATAACAAGGTAAATAGGAAAATATCACAGTCATATTAGCTGGTCTGCTCTGGGAAAGCCTTTGAAAGATCCACTGCCATCAAGTTGATTCTGACTCATATTGACCCTATAGGACAGAGCAGAAGTGCCCCCATAGGGTTTCCAAGGCTATAAATCTTTACAGAAGCAGACTGCCTCATTTATCTCCTGCAGAGTGGCTGGTGGGTTTGAACTGCCTACCTTTTGGCTAACAGCCAAATGCCTGAACCACTAATTCTTCCTTTGAACCCTAACCCTACACATGACGGGCCCATTCCTTGAATGCTTCAAATGCTGGAGGATTTAGAAACACTAACAAAAATATATTAGCCCACAGCAATGTGCTTTCATTTGAAATTTGGTCGTTTGGCCTAACGCAAATTGGCCTGTAACGTTAATGAGTTCATTTACCATACCTGACAATAGTATCTTTAAGTTTGCGTAATACCAATGAATCTGATTATGGAAAATGCATCGTTTCTGTGAGATGGGAATTAAATGAATGTATCAAAAGCAATAGTATATTAAAGACAGTGAATTGCTAGAAGTTATCAGACCGTGGAATTCTCTGTTTTATATCATTTCCATCTCATCTCTGTCTCCTAATCATGCCATCACTGAATGTGCCAGGGGAAGTGTTAGCCCACTGGGAGGCATCCGCCTCTTTTACAGATGCCTCTACAATTACTTCTATCAGCAAATAGTGCTATTAACAAAACTTGAAAGTCTGAGGTCTTTTCTTTAATGTACAGTATACATATATCTTTTTTTTGTTGTTGTTCCAATATACAAATCACTTCTGAGATTTGTTGCTATAAGCCTGAGAGCAGTTGCTATAAACTGTGCACTAGTTTAGAGAAATCTTCATAGAATAATGAGGAATAGTGCTAAATGCTAGCTGAGTCATCAGGCAGTCAATTAATGGAACAGATAAACAACTGTGAATCTTTTCATGAGTCACGGGACGGCAAATCATTTCATCATCACGTATTGCCATCCTGATACATTGTCCAAAACTAAATGGTTGTGTTTTAAAAGGAAATGCTAACCAAATTACTTTCACAAATTTATTCAAAGAGACAAATTGGTAGTTGGATACAATATTATTTTTATAGCAATTGCAGAGGCTTAAATTTTGCTCATAGTTGGCAAACTCTAATAATATCAAAACATAAAAATTTTTCTCTATATAGAAAACGAAGAAGGGGAAGGCCCTCAATGAGATGGCTTGACACAGTGGCTGCAATGATGGGCTCAGGTATAGCAAGGATCGTGAGGCTGGCACAAGACCGGGCAGTGTTTCGTTCTGCTGTGCATAGGGTTGCTGTGAGTCAGAGATGACTCGATGGGAACCAACAACAATTTATAAAAAGGAACAAGTAGAGTCAAGTTACTCTTTGATGCATTCCTCATTATGGAAGCAAAACTCTGTTTTTTTTCTATTTGTACCTTGAAAATCTCTAACCCACTGTCTCCCGAACATTTTAGGATTAGGATACAATTATGATGTTTTCGTCCCTAAATCTTCCTGACTATTAAGAGTGTTTCTTCATTACACGTATACTGGCATATCATTCACTTATACCTAAACGTGGCAATACCTAAAATCCCTCAGATCCTGCCTGTGTTAAGGCTGTGTGTCAACTTGGCTGGGTTGTGGTTTTGAGTGGCTTGGTAACTGGACATAGTTATTCCCCATGATGAGACTGTAATCACCTCTGTGGTGGAAGCTGCTAAATAGTTGATGGGGAGTTACCTTTAGGGTGTGGCTGTTTCCAGTATATTTGGAGAAGTTTGGGGCAATGTCTCTAGTTTTTTGGCATATTTTAGGCCGTTTTGCCTGCCAATTTTGGGATTGTTCCTGGAGGTGAACCAGTGGCCTGCTGTTGCCTGCTGATCTTGGGATTGCACCATTTTACCTGCCAATCTTGGTTTATCAGCCACAGTAGCCAGCAGCTGTGTGAGTTAGAAGAAGGCTCCAGCACCAGTGGGCCTAGAATAAGAGGCAGAACTAAACCCCAAAGTCAACCCCCTAAAGCTGGCACTCTAGACTTGGAGTCCTAGCCTCCTAAACTGTACAATAATAAATTCCTGTTTGTTAAAGCCATCTGTGCTATTTCCATTATAGTAACACTAGAGAACTAACATACTACCTTTGCTCATAAACTTGTTTTTTACTTTAGAGACTTCTCCTCTTACTGAACATCCTTTTCTCTGCCTTCCAACAGCTCTTTATTATTATTATTATTATTATTATAGAGAATATCTAAAGGTAAAAATGTAATATAATAAACCTCAAAAAACCCATAGCCCAGCTTTAAAAGTTATTAATTAATGGCCAATCTTATTTCATTTATATTTCACCTACTTGCTTGCCCAAATTTTGTTGACACATGTATCATATAATTTCAACTGTAAATATTTCTGTATTCATCTCTGAAAGATCTCAGCTGAAAGATAAGGAGCTCTTGTAGCATAGTGCCTAAGGCACTTGACTGCTAACAAGAAGGCTGGCAGTTCAAACCTACCAGCCACTCCTTGGAAGAAAGGTTGGGCAATCTACTTCTGTAGTGATACTGCCTCAGCAACCCAAGGAGGGGCCGCTATGAGTTGGGTCCGACTCGATGGCACATCACAAGAACAACAACACTTTTAAAGCATAACCACAATATCGTTATGAAAAAAAATTAAACAATAATTCTTTAATATTTTCAAATAACTGCTCAATATGCAAATTTCTTTGATTATTTATAATATTTTCAATAATTTCTTTGAATCAGGATCCAACTAAGGGACTTGCATAGCAATTGATTGGCATGTCTTGTAAATCTTTTTTTAATCTGTAGGTTTTTCTGCCCCTCTTTTATCCCTCTTCTTCTTCTCTATACTTGAAATTTTTTGTTTGTTTTAGAAACAATTTCATTGTCTGATAGTTTCCTACAATCTGAACTTTCTGGTTGCCTTTCTGTAGTGTCATTTAAAATGTTTTTCTGATTCTTGTATTTCTGTAATCTGGCCATTAGGCCTATCAGCTCTTAACCTTATCTGCCTCATGACTTCTCACTGTATGCTTGTATTGTTTACTTAATATTTTAACTTCGTCCGTTATATTTCTCAGGAAGCCTGTAAGTACCTTAAGGGTAAAGATTATGGCATATCTTCCACTTTTTCTTCTTCTGAATCTTCCACACTGCTCAGCATACAGCAAGCAGATGTCTGGGGAAAACTGGCACAGTGACTGTGGTAGTTAATGTTGTGTGTCAACTTGGCTGGGCCTGGTTGAGTGGCTGGGCAGCTGGATGTAGTATTCCCCATGATGAGACTGGAAATCAACTCCATGGTGGAATCTACTATGAGCAGCTGAGTAGCTGCCTTAGGGAGGTGGTCTGCTTCCTGTATATAAGGAGAAGCCTTGGGCAATGGTCTCTAGATTATGGCATGCTTGAACCCTACATGTAGCCATGTTGTTGTTCAGCAGCCTGCCATGTTGATCTGCTGACCTTGAGACTTTCAATGGATTTGAATTAATGGCCTACTGTGTGGTTTGGTAACATCGATACTGTGCTTTTTTACTTATCAACCTTGGGCTTGTCAGTCTCAGCAGCCAGCAGCTGTCTGGGTGAAAAAGAAAAGCCTCTAGCTCCAGTGGGCCAGGAGCAGGAGGCAGAGCTGAAGCCCAAGGTTGAAGGACTTTCATCGAGCCCCTAGAGTCTGGCACTTTGAACCCAGACTTAAAGCCTCCAAACTATAAGAGAATAAACTCCTGTTTGTTTAAGCATCCCATTTGTGGTATATTCCTGTCAGAGCAGCAGGAGGTAACCAGAAAAATGACTAACTGGTAGTTGTGAGAGTGGGTTAAATTGCACATATTGCCCTAGCAAAATACACTTTCCAAACTTTAAAACAGTATTTTGTTAAATAGTAACATGTAAAAAAACAAACAAAAAAAAAAAGGACAAGCTGTGATTTGATCCTGAAAAAAAACTTGATTCAATGGAACACAACATTAAGTAAAATTCTCCTGGGATTAAATAATGCTATTTAAGATAGAGTTGAAAAAAAGAGAGAAGAAAAACAATTACTATGCCTCTATTCCTCCAAATGCCACAGTTGTCTCATTTCCTGTGAAAAGCTTCACAAATTTCTCAGTGAAGTTACAGTTCTATAGTTCTCATTAAGTATAACAAGTGTCTTGGACATCATCCTAGCCTTCTTCATGTTCACATAAATAATATATCCTCAGAAACTAAGCCGGGGACATGACTGTCCAAAGGCCAAGAGAACATTTCCAGCAGCATGTAAAGAAGCACTGCCTGATCCTTACAGTGTAAGTAGCTATGGCTTTTTTTGCCCCCTGCCTCATGTCCAGTGCAGTTTAC